TGCCATAGGCCATACAGTTGGTAATTAGTACCCTCTGAGTGATTATTTTATAAGTGGCTGCAGGACCTCAGGGCCGGGCAGGACACAGGAAAACTTCCAGCTACAGTCAGTGTGTGAGGACATGAAACCTTCACAAGATCTTCCTGAGCACACTCCCTGTCACCACACCCCATCCCCCTCATTGGCAATGCCTGGATTCCTCCTCTTGCCTGCGCTCTGTCTTGATTCACTGACCAAGCGTGAGCAGAGCCTTGGTCTGTGTCAGACACTGAGCTCGCTATTTCAGCAGCTCAGCTTGCAGCCCCACCGACCTCAACTTACTGGTCTCGCTTCTTTCCTCTGTAAAGCTCTGCAAACCCAAGCTCTGTTCACTTTCTACAAATCAGTGCCGGACGGCAACTTGTAAATCTGTGAAACTCATTTTAATTCTTTTATGTGTCAAGGCCCTGAACTCCTATCAAGAGAGAAAATCCCTTGAAAACACAATCTTTCTCTTCATTGTAAGCTCAATATTCCGTTCATGTGGGAAATCCACAAACCATACTGTTTTGGTCATGTAGGGGGCCTTGAAAAATAAGGCATGATCATTTGTTATAACTAGTCCCTGGTCACCTTTTTCATCAGAGGCTAAGAAAATGAATATAGTCATAAAATGATTATTGCTCTCTTGGTCCAGAAAGTAAATTTATTTTTTCCCTTTCTTCCTAAGTCCAAAAACACAAAACTAATTGAGAGCTTCTTAAATCCTTATAATACTATCACTTATAATAAGTAATATCATGAGTCAAAATGCAATTTCTTATGCTATTACTATTAACTTCTTTAAGGATTCATTTTCTACCCACCCACCTCCTCATTTGGCCAAATGTATTTCAGTAAGTGCAGATGGGAGCTGAGATGATGATAAAGAATTATGGGTTTTAGTGTTTATTCCATGCCATCCTAATATTACAGCTATATTCTTTCCACATGAGATGGCATTTTGGCTGTGGGTAATATGATTAATGTCCAAATATGGTTTGAGAAGCAAGAGGAGGAAGCAGGCATTCTAGGGCTGAGGTGGAGGGAAAGACATCCTTCATTAAGTGTTAAGCTTTTTGGGCAAGGAAGCACATTTAGTGATGTAAATAGGCAGAAATGAAAGTAGACTAGTGGTGAAATGTGGCCTTTTCCAGGAATCAGAGCATGCTGGGTATGTGGGGGCAGAGTCTGTGGATACAGGGAACTTACTGCAGCTATAGCGCTTTGGTTTCCACATCTGTAAAATGGGAACAGTGTGCTGCTGTCTGTCAATCATCTCTCTGCTTGTCATGATGGCTGAAATCAGAGGCATGGGCACCCCTTGGGCAGCTTGGGTCCTGTACAAGGGCCCCTCTGCAGGAGGAGGGAGAGGAAGCTAAACTCGCCAAGTCAGGGACTTGTGATCATTTGTCTTTCCTCTTGACTGCTGAGAGCTAGAGGATTTTTTTTTCTTTCTAATTTGCAAGAAGGAGCTTTTTGTGCTCACAGCCGCTCTGATTGAGATAAGTACATAGAGACATTATTATTCAGCTAAGGGCTTTTGCTTTTTCCTAATGAGTGCCTTTCCTCCCACCAACGAAGAGAATTCAGAGTTGGATCATCATCCTAATTGAACACAGGCAGAAACAGGGGCAGGACAAGGCCGCGGACACAGATTCACAGGAGCGCACAAAGCTGGGGTGATTCCTTGTTTTAACCACTCTTATTTGGTAGCAAGTGAGTCCAAGTTGCAGGGCAAGCTTTTCCCCCTTTGAGTATAGAAAAGGCTTACTGCTCATTAATAAGTCCACGAGCCCAGTTGTCAAAGGAGGGCCCAGGACTCTGACTGGCAGATCTGCACATTAGAAGCAGGAGCTCTCCCTCTGAGACATGAGCTAGTGACCCTAGTCCTGTGGCATTCAAGCATTCAACACCCACATGCCTCCCTAGCATCCTTGAGGGTCTTCGGGTTCAGGCTGAGAAGGCCAACTTGCTTCACAAACACCGAGTTCTGATGATTTTGTCCCCACATACGCCATCTTGATGCCACTCTAGATCCTGGTCCACAGTTCCAAGCAGCTCTGCCACCCAGCTGTTCCTCATTATTGCTCAGATCCAGAATCCCAACTCCAGCTTTCCCTTTCCATCCTCCATTCCTCTTTGGGTGTCCTTACCTTCCTCCACAGTGAGCCCTCTTCTGGGGAAGCCCATTCCTCCTTTGAGTACAGAAAAGGCTTACTGCTCATTACTAGGTCCACGAGGCTGACTGTCAAAGGAGGCCCAGGATTCTGACTGGCAGATCTGCACATGAGGAGCAGGAGCTCTCCCTCTGAGACATGAGCTAGTGACCCCAGGCTGACTCCTTCTCTCCTTCCCTCCCTCCCTCTCTCCCTTCCTCCTTCCCTCCCTCCCTCCCTGTCCTGGTGCATCCTCCTGTCTTCCCAGCCATGCCAACCTACACTCTAGCTCTCTATAAGCTTTTTTTCTCTTTCTATCTGGCCAAGCAAACAAACCTCTTACTGTCTCCACAGCTGCTGTTCTTACTCATCTAACATCTGTCTCTACCTCATCAGCTCTTGCCATTGCCAGAAACATCTCAACCTCCCTCAAACATTGGGGTCCTAACAGTTCCGTGATTTAAACTTGAATGGTGCCCCTCTTTCCATCATGTCTCTTGGACTGTTCCCTCCCCTTTTGCTGTGTTTCATGCTTTCAGAATCCAAAGTTCCTCCCTGCCCAGTGTTCCTTTCCTTCTGACCATCCTAGCTCTCATTCTTCTCCTCATCATGACTTGCCTCTGGTTGCTTCATGCACTCCAAGCTACCTTGAATCCTGATTTCCTGGTCATCCATTCTGGACTTCACGGATGTTGGCATTAGCTGTGTTCATGCTTGCACATGGAAGCTTATACCTGTATCCTGCTGCTGACCTGCCTCACCCCTAATTTTGTAGATATTCCATCTGTTTTCTTCCTCCTGGGTACCAGAAGCCGAGCATTCCTTGTCTCGGGGCCTACTTGTCTCCTTACACACACATAGGGGCTCTAAGCTCAAAGGAACCAGGATTCCACTCAACTCTGATTCCTGTCCACTGCACTCCATGCATCTCTAACTCCAGGATCTCCAGCCTTTCTCGAGGGTGTTCTCCTTAGCATCAGGACTTAACCCTGATTCTCACTACCCATTGTCTACCCTCTGGGAATCCTTCAAGTTCTCTTTCCCACTTGACTTTTCCTGAAATCTTCTCCTGATTCAAAGGGACAAGGACATCCCTACCTCACATCTTTTATTTTAGTTATTCTTGATCTTTCCAGAACACCTCCCCTTTCTGTAAATCCCCCAGTCCTTCCAAGTCTTCCTTCTCTTCCTCAATGGATTGCTCTGAATCACTCAAGCTCCAGCATTGCTCATTTTTCTTCCTTGCTGCCATAGTTCAAAGCCTTATTCTCCATTTGCTGGACATTTTGTTTTCTACAGATCACCTTCGTGCCCATAATTCTCTGAAAACGTTCTAGCAAGGGCTGCTGTTGCTTCTTAGTTGCCAAATCCAAAGGTCTTTGGTACACCGCTACCATCCTCCAAAGGCCTTCCCGGAAATGCTCTGACACTTCCTATCTATGTCCCCAGGTGCTCTGCTGCTTCTGAGAGCCTTGGCCATGCTTTCCCCCTCCTCCTTTGCTGGGAGGACACCCCAGAGTGTGTCTGTAGCTTTTTTCCCATGCCCTCTTCCTCCTTCTCAAGGCAGATACAAGTTTCTCCAGTGTATCATCTCTTGAAAGCTAACATGTACCTCTTACCTCAAGTTCTCTCTGGATTTATTGCTAGCTAGTTACTTTTTTTTTTTTTTTTACTGTGAAATCTACACATCACATAGAAAACAGTTAAGTCTGCAGTTCAGGGTCAGTAAGGACATCCACATGGCTGTGTAACCATTGCCATCATCCACTTAAACAATGCCTCTCCATTCTTCCCCTTCTCTTTGTTTCTAGGACTCTTAGAACAAGTACTTTTCAGAAGTGAAACCACATGCTATTTGTGTGTGTGTGTGTGTCCTATTTCTTAATGTCTTCAAGGTTAATCCGTGTAACTCCCATCACATGTTTTTCCCTTCTAAAGGTTCAATACATCTGTACCAGATTTCTATCTATCCACTCATCTGTCAATAGACACTTATCACTGAATAGTTTTCAGTGGCTTCTTTGCTAGGACTTGTGATTAGCATAGGTACGTTATTAATATAACACACAACACAGTATGATATAACTCTCAATAAGCTTTCAGTACTTAAGAGCCTTGTCACAACCTCCCTAATATGAGTTCTTTGAGGCTACAGATCCTTTGGTAGCTTCCAAAACCCAAGCCGAACTTTTGGAAAACAGCCAGTGCCCAATAAAAATTCATGAATGAGCCAGGCGGTGGTGGTGCATGCCTTTAATCCCAGCACTCGAAGCCAGAGCCAGGTGGATCTCTGTGAGTTTGAGGCCAGCCTGGTTTACAGATTGAGATCCAGGGCAGGCACCAAAACTACATAGAGAAACCCTATCCCGAAAAAAAAAATTCATGAATGAGCGAGTGAGTAAACTCAGTAAGCATTCACAAACAGATCTGTTTTATAAAGACATAACTGGAAATCCCACTCTTGGAGTTCTGTCCCCAGAGGATATTTGTGTAGAAGCTACCCCGAGACACAGGGTGGATCACTCAAGTGTTTATTACTGAGAGGTTCCTGTTACTCCATAAATCGTGAGCTCCCCCAATGTAAATTGCCATTGAACAAGCAGAACAATGACATGGGCATTCTTTTTATCAAAGGCCTGGTATTAAGACAGATTAACTCGGAGAGAGCGACACCAGCCTGGGTATCTACCCCATCCCTCATTCTTATTGTGATTAATGAGATGGAGCACATTTTTTCTCCAACTCTGCCTGAAAACATATTGAGTTTATGCCTCGTCCTACAATGTTAAATATTGTCTTAGAATTACATTATCTCTTACACAGATGGATGGCTGGGTGTCGTGTATACTGCTGACAGTTTTCCTGAAGTCGAACTGGAATGGCTGAGGGAATCACTCAGCCATGGCGACAGGCGGGAAACAAGCAGAGAACTCCAGCAACACCAGGATGCAGTGGTCCAAAGTGAGCCCCGAAGCAATGGATTTATCCAGAACTGCATAGATGCTAGCCGCCAAGGACAGAGGCAGTGCAAGGGAGATGTGTGCTTATGGTGGGCAACTGATTAGCAAGAAGGAAGAATGGAAGTAGAGCCCTCAGAGAATTGTCTTCAGATGTGTAACCTGCCTGTCTCGTTACTTAATAGTGACCCAAGACAGGCTTCTTAAGTGACTACATCCACATTTTTCGGACTACATTTTGCACTTACCATTTTATTATTAAGCTCACCTTATGGAATAGGTATACAGTGATTATTATTCACATTTTGAAGACGAAGAAACTGAGACACAAATGCCATGAGTCAGGGGCCTGATACACTGGTTCATGGAATATATACCCAGGGGATTATTGTCTACTTGTCACTCCTCCTCCTCCTCCTTTTCCTTCTTTGGTTTGGAGGGGGCAGGGATCTGGTCTATAGCACAAGGGGGCTTGGAACTCACTGAACAGTCCAGGGTGGCCCCTAATTTCTGCCCATCCATCCATCCTCCTGTCTCAGCCCCTGGATGCTGGGACCATAGGCATGGAGTTCGTGAGGCTACTGTGTTTCAGGATATGCATTTGATTGTGACTGAAGCGTAGTGGAGATGGGGAGGCATGGCCTCTTCTCTCATAGTTCACAGATGATGTGGATATGGTAATAATCTTTGCAAACTTCCCAAAAGGGGAATGGGGGCCTGGTTGATGGACAATGGCACATGGTGGCCTCAGGACTAATGTTACTTAGAAAAAGCTTTGGAAAGAGGTGACACTTCCATTAGAGAATTTTTTTTTTCTAGCAAAAAAAACCAGTAGTTTAAGAAAATGTTCTAAGCTGGGTGTCATGGCACACATCTTTAATTCCAGATCTCGGGAGGCAGAGACAGGGGGATCTCTGTGAGATTGAGGCCAGTCTGGTCTACAGAGTGAGTTTCAGGACAGCCATGGCTACACAGAGAGACGCTGTCTCAAGAAGTTCTAAGGCACAGTCATAAACTAAGTTGGGTCTTTAGAGGGGTTCAGCCAAGTGCCAGGAACTGCATTGGCTGCTGACAATCCTGGGGGTGTGATGAGATAGATAAGATTCTTGCTTGCATGAAGCTCCTTTGTATCAAGGGGGTTCAGACAGTAAACACGGAACCAAGTATTCATTAATTACAGACTGCTAGTAGTGCTAAAGGGAACCAAATGAAATGCTGAGGCAGAAAAAACCAGACCCAGCAAGCATTCCCAAGGTGGTGATCTTTCTTAGCTGAGATCCAAGTGAGGTACGACGGATGTCAGCATAAGGCTCCATGTTGGGGGAACAGTAAGTACATAAGGCCCGTGGCTTAAAGAAAGGAAGCTAGAAAGTGGAGGCAAGTGTCACAAGTGAGGAGCTGGGCAAGCAAAGCCAGGCCCTTCAGGGCCTTCGGCTAAGATTTTATTCTAAGACAAAAGGAAAATCACCCAAAAGTTTGATAGTAAAGCGGTATACTGACCTATCAATGGCCCAACCATTTGCACCTCCCTAATAAGAGCCTTTTTGTCCTTCATATCCTAACAGAGCAGGACTCCTGGGTTGTCAGCAGGCCACAGGCAGCCTGGGCTCTCTGCTCCGTTCAAGGCCGTCACCTCTGTGGAACATTGAGGTCACCCTGGCTGTTGCTCTCTGGCCCCATGCTCCCTGCCTGCATTCTGGTCCTGGCTGTCAGAATGACTATCTACGATGCTAGCCTAGCATATTATTGGGTTTATCACCATTTTGTGGCTCCCTACATCCCAGGGGACCAAACCCATCCTTGCTGATGAGCCTGAAGGCCTGCCTGGTTTCTCTCTGCGTCCCCATGCTTAGCCGCCTCCTACATCACTTGACCATCATACAAGGCTGTGATTTACCCCATCCCCTCTTTTGTTCCGTCCTTTCCAAAGTATATATTTACCATTTACTTACTATACTAGCTGCTTTTCTTATCACTATATATAAAAAAAATCAGAGAGAAACACAGCAAGAATTACTGCTTTGGGCTCACAAGTTGTTTGGCCCCATGTACTTGAGCAAATCATGAAGACAGCAGGAGTATGTGGTAAGGGAGCTTCCTCACTTCCTGTCAGACAGGAAGTGGGGAGGGGAAGCCATAGACAAGATACCTGCAAAGACCTACCTGTTGGTGATCTACTTTCCCTAGCTAGGCCACACCTCTTATAGCTTCCAGAACCTCCCAACATAATACAACACCATCGGCTGCCAACCAAATCTCTAGCCTATGAGCCTATGGGAAAGGCTTCATATCACATCATAATATGCAGCCTGACCCCATCACCTTAGTATAAGCCATTATAATGTTTTACCTGGTTCGGCAATAGCCTCCTATTTCCACTTCAGCTCTCTTCCAATTCATTCTTTACAGTACCCAGAGTAAATGCTAAAAATGCTGGGGGAAAGCCTTTGCTCAGTGAGACCTAGCTGGGATTAGTTCTTCTGCCCTGGGATCCTGAGGCCAGAAAGCTGAGGACTTCCCTCCTGAATGGGGCTACCCCAATGGCAGTTTTCTAATCCTATGGATTACCCAGGCACACACGCACACACACACACACACACACACACACACACACACACACACACACACAAAACCCAAACATTTAGCATGCCTCCCCAAGTTTCCATGAGAGGAGAGGCAGTCTAGGGCTCTGTTCCTCCACTAATTCTGGGACATCAGCAGTTCTATAATGGGGCTCACCATGCTGGCTGAACTGCCTGGACAGGCAATGATCACCCTGTCAAATGAAAAGTTCACACAGACTAATAAATGCTCGATGGGGCCCCACACACCAGACAGGAAGATGTACTTAGGTGTCACAAGTATACCCTTTTCATTCAAGCTTCCAGTTGTCCTCAGGGCCCAATGAGTGCAGGAGGCAATCTACACTGTGCCACGCTCTCCTGAGGCAATTGGACTCCCATCTACGGTAGAAAAGGTTCAAAGGGGAAGGCCTGGGCCCTAGGCTCTTTGGCGCCCTGTGTGTGGGGTTGTAGGCTTCAGAGAGCTGTGTCATGCCAATCAACGCATGCAAAGCAGCTTGGGGACCACAGTGGAACCTTCTTTATCAGCACATCGGAGGCACAATAGAGAAAACCATCATTCCGAGAGACCGGCACTGCGCAGTTCTTTCTGTAACCTAAGGCAGCTGCGTAGTACCATAGCATCCCTAAAGAAAAGACAGTGAGAGGCCGAGAAGAGTTTAGGAAAAAAAAAAAAAAAGGCAGTTTCATTTGGTTTGGTTCAGCAACCAGCATCAGCCCCCAGGGGCTCTGCACCGCATTCTCCACGGGCTGAATGGGCATGGAAGAAAACTCAGCCTCATGGAATGTAAGTGGCTACAGAGTTAGAATAAAATCCACTACGGTTGCTATCGCAATCCCCCCCCCAACTAATGAATTCTGGTTTGCTACAGGCTGCGACTCACTCTCTCAGAGCATGCCCTCCCTAAGGAGGAGTTATCTTTCTTTCCAGATAACCTTCAGCGGTAGGGCTTTTCAAGGTGACTGAGGCCATGAGGATGTCTAAGAGGGCAAAGGTAGCACTTCCGGGACAATAGGACTCCATCTTTTCTCCACACACCCTGTTTTCAGATTCGGGATCAGTCTTTGGCTATTGAATCCTTTTGTGCATGATTCTGCATGCTTCTTGCTTTTCTTCCTTTGAATCTATCAAACAAGTCACAACAAATGCCAATTGCTTTGACTGCTAGAGAAGTACTAGCGGTTCCCAGGGCCAGACACAATGGGCTTGCCAGTGGCTGCTTCAGCTAACTGTTTAGACATGGTGGGTCTTAGATTTACAAGTTGAGATTTGGAAGGGGGGCAAAGAAGGTTGGAATAGCGTTTCTGGGGAGACACTGGAACGATGAGGAAGCCGCTTATAGTCAGAGGCAGAATGTAAGTGAGGATGTGGAGAAATTGAAATCCATGTGTGCTTTTATGGCAGGAAGTGTAAATGAGGTAGCAGCTATGGAAACAATATGATGACTCCTTAAAACGTTCAAAATAGCATCACCCTTTGACCTAAAAAGTTCTCGTCTGGATATAATATATTCAGGAAAATGGAAAATAGGGTCTTAAAGAGATAATAGTATAGCCTTGTTCACAGTCACATATAATTTAGACCAGCAAAAGAACAGAAGCAACCAAATGATCAATATATGAGTAGATAAAGTCAATGCAGTAGACCATCAAACGGAATATTACTCAGTCATAAAAAGGACAGAACTATGACACACCCTACAACATCATTGAATCTTAAGAGTTTATGCTAAAACACAAAAGGGCACATAGTGCACGATTCCATTGATATGAAGTACCTAGCATACTCTAATGTATATAGACAGAAACTAGAGTGTCTGCCAAGGGCTAGGGGAAGGGGACACAGGAACTATGTAATAGGTATGGAGTTTCAGTTTGGGATGTTGGAAAAGTTCTGGATATAGTGCTGATGGTTACATAGCAGCATGGATGTGCTCAACACCTCCGAACTGTATATTTAAAAATGGTTAAGATAGTAATTTTATTATGTTTATCATATCATTTAAAAAGTATCAGTAAAAAGCCTGGGAGGTGCCTGAGTTGGCAGACTGATCGACTTGCATGCACAAACCACATGCTCAATCTCCAGCACTGTGTAAACTGGGCATGGTGGGTGCATGCCTGTAATTCTGACACTTCTGTCTCCCCAGAAACGCTATTCCAGCCTTCTTTGCCCCCTTCCAAATCTCAACTTGTAAATCTAAGACCCACCAAGGTAGAGGCAAGGGGTCAGGACCAGCTACACAGTGAGCTTTGAGTCCAGCTTGGGATATACAAGACCTTGTCTCCAAACAACACCAAAAGATCAAAGGATACCAAAGATAATAAAAAGAAGAAGAGGAAGAATGCTTTCCATATCCACAGAGGGGCAGGGCCAGACAATTATGGTCCTTTCTGTGGACAGCAACCAGAGCTTTAGAGGGTTCGGTGTTTCAAAGATCTGGTAGTGAGTTGACCCCAGACATCTAGGGAAGCAAGAACTTCTCAGGATTGCAGCAGGAATGACCTGGCTTACAAGTCCTCACTTGACATAAGCCCCAGGGTCAATGAAGGTCACTCTGGCCAGGCTTCTGGAACCCTGCTGGCTACTGCCGAGTGTGACCAGTTTTACTGCCCTGTAGCTCTCCTATGCAGCCATGGAGAGGATTTCCAACACGATTGTCTTGTGTTCTAGTGAACATTTAAAAATCACATCCACAAGCTCCTCTGTCTTTTGTGTGTATGCTTGGTGTGGGGTCCTGAGCATGTCTGGGCCTTGCAAAAACAGAACTTAATGAGGTGAGTACTCTGAGCAGTGACCACTGTTGCTGGGTCTTTCTAGCTTTTACAGAGAATTTCTCACCATCACCCAGCCCATGGCAAGAATTTAGGAAATCACACTCAACTCTTTAGTTGTTCTGGTGTCTAGCCTCAGCTAACACCTATGTGTGAGCACTGAGATGGTATTTCACTGTATATTACTCCAAGATGGTCTGGCCAGAAGAGCATCAGCTTGAACTGGGAGCCGGTTAGAAATCTAAATTGCCAGCCCCATCCCTGACCTCCTCCATCAGAATCTGCATTCTGACTGGCTTCCCAGGTGATTCCTAAGTACAGCAGACACTGAGCAATCCTGCTCCATGCTACCTGAGAGTCCCTACTCATGGGCATCATCTGGGGTGCATTATCAGAGCAAAGTTCAAACTTCTTCCTATGTGAGTCTGATTTGAGAGAACCTTTTCTACCATAGTGAAAGGAGAAACGGTGAGATAAAAGACATAAGAAATTTGTAGGTCCCCCCCCCACACACACACCTGTGGACAGGCAAGGAAGAGACAGATTCAAGCTTCTGAGACACATGGATACACACACACACACACACACACACACACACACACACACACACACACACACACACACACCTACACACACAGGCATGACCACAGTGCCCATGGTCACATATGAAAGACCTCCCTGGAAGGGAAACTACTAGACATAAAGAGCATTGACTGTCCTGTATGTTCATAAGTAAGTTGTAGCCAATTGTGGGCATACTCAGTATTTCAGTTTAGCTTCGACCTTTGAGCATCATTGACTTTATCTCCTGTGGGAGCATCTCTAACATAGTCCTGCTTTTTTACATTAAAAGCAGCTTATTTAAAAGAAAAAAAAACCCACTAATCCAGTCAAGGTAGAAAGGCTTAAGGAGAACAAGGTTCCCTCAAGCATGGAAGAGGCTGTTTTAAGACTAAATTAGACCCGTGAAAAGCTCTTTGTACTCACTTGTACAATTGCGTTCCGACTCTCCTTCTCCTGTGCTTTTCAATGAATATAAAGTCTGAAATCCAGGAGGAAGGAGCTTCTCCCCCTTCCACATAAGCATTTCAGTCTTGGTTTCTTGGAAACCCTTGAAGGCCTTGATTCATGAATGAATCCTAATTTCACTTGCCTCCTGCTTGACGTAAGGCAGTGATTCACCCCAAATTGCACAAAAATCAAGAACACATAAACTGGAAGTTAGATTTCTTAGTACGTGTTTCTCTTCTTTTGTTCCCATTTATGCCCAGCAGAATGTTATTTTACAACAACTCAGAAAGGCTTTCAGGCAGACACTTGTAATGGAGATTTAGGGACCTCAAAGAGCCAGAGGAGCAAAGGTAGACCATGCAGACTTATTTTAAAGACAACATTAGACAGGGAAACTGACTAGCAAGATGGTGGTGTGGTGGTGGTATTTCTGTGTAGCAACTGCCATCAATGTATGGGTCGGGTTTGGGACCTGCCATAGCACAATGAGAACATAGACCGAACGGCAGTCCCAGGCTCTGTTCTCCACCCCAAGGGTCCCTCTTGGGTCATGGCTGTGATGGAAAGTCAAGGAGCAAGGTGACCGAAGAAGGTATCTAGAAGATCCCAACATTCTCATGACTCCTCTTACAGGGAAGGGGAAGTGGTCCCGGAAGATGACGAAGGACAGGTGGGTGAGTGGAGTATAGGAAGCTAAGAAGCCAAGGCCTCTCTCTTTTCCCATATAGGCACTGATAAGCTTCAGGTTCCTGTTAATTCCTTCTGATCTGACAAGGCTGAAATGTCCTTAGTAACTGATATTTTTAAAGCCCCTTAAGAGTCCCTGGTGGCAGGTAGTTGCTATTTTAAAGCATAAAATTTTAGTTAAGGGAATCAATCAATGAGTAAATCAATATTTGTTTAGCATCTGCAATGGGCTTCACTTTACACCAGTTTGCAACAGCGTGCAAAGATTAAGTAGAGCACGTGGGCTGCAACCAGAGAGAGGCTGTTTCTCTAATACTCACGAGTAGGCTTTAGGAATGAAAGAATCTAAGTTCGAATCTCTGTTCTATGAATTTGGAGAGCTGCCTTATTTCCCCATGCCTTAGTTTTATTCCCTGGAAGTAAAAGCTAATACTATTTCATGGGGGTTTTACAAGTATTCAATATGTACAGTGTTTGTAACATGTTTAGCTCATCGTGAAAACTCAATAGCGAGCAATAAAGAACACATTCCCTAGGGAAGCCAGAAATCCTTCCTTCATTTTTAAACAAAGATAGTCCTGGAAGCTGACAAAGTAACTGAGCATCTAGGCTTGCACCTTCCCAGTACTAGAGGGTTATTTTGTAGTCTAGACATTTTTTTGTTTTGTTCTGTCTGGTCTGTTTGGGATGTGTTCTCACTACGCACAGAGAAGAGAGTGTGCGATCTCTTGGAACGGGAGAGACAGTCAGTTGTGAAGCACCTAGGATTGGGTCCTGGGAACTGAACTCAGGCTCTCTGGAAGAACAGCAAGATCTCTTCGTCCTGCTGAACCATCTCTCCAGCCCCTTTAAGTCTAAAGAGTTGAACATGGGGTACATGGACACACGCTCTGGGAAATCTTCCTGAGGGAAGTGACTGGGGAAGCATGGACCTAAAAATCTAAGCTCTGGCTTATGTAGCTGTGCCTGAGCCTTACAAGTCAGACCGAAGATGGGTGGGCTCTGAGCTGTCTTCCACTCCAGCTATCACCGTGTTCTTAACTAGATCTTCATACTTCAACTCTTAAAACACCATGTCTGGTTATGTACACCCTACTCCTTCATCATCTTCTGATTTCACTCTTGGCTCTTAGGTCTTCCTGCTTTTTTTTTTTTTGGGTGCTTTTTAAATCGCCTAAGTAGAGTGCATAATTTATCTGCAACTAGGGCCATCCATTTAAATGCAGAATTTGATGGGAAGAAGAGGGCAGCAGGAGACAGCAGAGGGCATAAGACAAGGCCAGGGGAAGATAATTATAATCAAAGCTCATTATATGCACATATATAACATCCTAACGAAACCCAATTATTTTGTACAATTAATACATGCTAATAATTTTTTGTTTAAAGAAAAAGTGCATAATTTGATCATTTGTAATGGTCTCTTACAGTAGGAAACCACGAAAGGCATTCAAAGTATACAAGCCTTCCATTACCTGCAGCCCCCTGCAGTGTAATGGAAGACTCCATGGTCTCTTTGCAGTCAACTTTCTCACCTTCCTGGACAGCCACTGCCCAGCTTTCTATAGGTTTAGTAGACAAGTCTGCAGTTCCTGGGATTATATATAAGTGGAAGCACACACTCTATGGCTTCTTTCTCTTGCCACAATGACCTGGGGATTCACCCATGTTGCATATTTAGTAAACTGTATTTTTATTTATTTTATGTGCATGGATGCAGGTATGTATGTGGAGAAGGTCATAAAACTTAGGGTAAATGGCTCTCCCCACCATGTGAATCCCAATGATTAAACTCAGGTTATCAACCTTGGAGGGATGCCCATTAAATCATGCCTTTTTATTATTGGACAATGCTCTATAATCAGACAAAGTAAAGCTCTTTTATCTACTTGCCTACAGAGGGCAATTAAGTTATTTCCAGTTCTGGACTCTTGTGAATAAAGCGCTCTACATTTCAAGGCACAGGTTTGTGTGGAGATTCATTTTTTTTCCTTTCTCACATTATCACACAGCCGTGGACTAGCTGGCTGCTTCCTGTGGCAGTTTTAAAAGAAACATGACAAGTGTTTTCCAAAATGGTGACCCCATCTTATAGTCTAAGCCGTGGTAATGAGAGTTTCAGTTCTTCATACCCATGCCAGCACAAGGTAGGATCTCCAGTCTGATCCATCTTCTTAACTGAAGTGATGTCTCAAGCATCCTTCTGGGCTTCATGGCCATCTGAATATCTTCTTTTATACAGAATCTGTAAGAAATCTCTTCCTAGTTCTTAATTCAGAGGGTACAAGAAATTTGTTACCTTTAGCAAATGTTTTCTTCCCTTTTGAGCTTTGGTTTTCCATGCTTAAAAAATTTCAACTTTATTTATTATTATTATTATTATTATTATTATTATTACTATTATTATTATTATTGAGATAGGTTCTGTTGCATCCCAGTCTACTTCAAACTCACCATCTAGTTGAGGATGACCTTGAACTTCTGAGCCTCCTGTACACCTCCTGAGGGCTGGACATCACACCCAGTTTGCTGTCTTACTTGGGACTGAACTCAGAGCTTGGCGTGTACTTGAGAAACACTCTGCAGACTGAGCTATATCCCCAGCCAATGATGCTATTTTTTAAATGGAATCCTGTGAGGAGTACATTTTTAAAGTTTTGATAAACGCTTGCTGGCCTATTATAATTTGCATTACTGTTCGTATCTTTGTGGTGCTGAGAAACTTTTGCTTACACAAATTTTCAAGGATTGCCTTTTGAAATTTTCAGGGTTGAAGAGAGAGCTCAATGGTGAAGAGAGCTTATTGCCCTTGCAGAGGACTGCAGGTCAGTTCCCAGTGCCCACATCAGGTGCCTCATAGCCAGTAGTTAGTTCAACTCTAGGGGATTCATTATCTTCTTCTAGCCTTTACACACACACACACACACACACACACACACACACACACACAGAGAGAGAGAGAGAGAGAGAGAGAGAGAGACAGACAGACAGACAGACAGACAGAGAGAGAGACAGAGACAGAGAGACAGAGACAGAAAGACAGAGAGACAGAGAGAAACAGAAAGACAGAGACAGAGAGACAGAGACAAAGAGAGACAGAGTTTATGTTCAGGTCTGTGACTCATTGTCTGTCTGTTTTATAGGCATCCTGGTACATGCCTATAGCTGCAAAGCCAGGCCACACACTAACAACTCCTAAGTTTCTTCCTCCAATCCAGATCTTGCCTTCAAAGTCCAGATTCCTGTCTGCTTGGATGCTTCTAAGTTTGGGGAAACTTCAGCACCTCCAAAATGGACTTTGTACTTTTATTCCATACCTGTGTCTCCTTTATCTGGCTTGCTCCAGTGAATGGCTCCATCTACCATGCTGATCAAGCAAAATAAAAAAAAAATCCCCCTTCCCAATCATTGGAGCGACTGCTATAGCCCACTCTCTACTCAGAACCACGCCCTCTTCTCCTAAGGGTCTTCAAAGATCTGAGGTCCTCATACCTCACTGCTCTCCTACATCCAACTTACAGTCTTACCCAAAACGACATTGGCTTTGCTTGGCTCTGAAGATCATGACTACGGCCCTATATGCTTGTGATCTGTCCTCTGCTGGTCTCTGTTCCCGGGCTTCCATCCAAACAGTACTCTCTGCTCATCTGGGCCCAGATGTTCACTTCCCTTGATTTTCTTGAAGATGCCCCTGAGTCTTTCCTTTCTCTGGCTTCATGTGTGCCCTCTATCTCCTTGGAAGATTCCTGTATGTACTTGTCCCTCCAACTGAACTCCAGTTCAAATGCCACCTCTTGGGGAAGGCTACCATGATCCTCTGGCCCATGTCAGGCCCTTCATGTGACAGTCCTCTCCAGTCAAGCGTCATTACAATAATTACAGGATGGTGCATAGAATTCTACATTGTAATATCCATTTTTCCCCTCTCTGTAAGGCAGGCCTCATGAGGACTGCCTCCGCTTCCACCCTTTGGCACATTTCTCTGCATGTACGGAGGAATATTTATTGAAATAAGCATCTAGCATATCAATACACGAATGAGTGAATGAAGACAAAGAGGAACATCCCTGGGAAAGAGGTGGGGGTAGACCTTGGGGTAAGATCTGGGGAAAGAAGGGAGTCAAAATGAAATCATGGGGTTGTGGGAAACCATTGTTGATTTTCTTTTTGAATTGAGAATCAATACACAATTTTCTCTCTCCCATCATGTAAGCAGACTATTAATTATAGCAAGCCTGGTGGGACTTACATTAGTCTCATCCAGAGCAACCTGTTTGTAAGCAGCTTTAGAAGCATGTGGTAAAGCAGCTTCAACACAAAAGATGCAGATGTAACTCTGAATTCTCTGACCGTAGCTGCCCCCTGTTTAAAAGCAATTAAGTGCAGGCGTCAAAACACACAAGCAAGTGGAGAAAGTTCGATCAGAGGGAAACATTTTCATGAGCCAATTGGAAGCTCTGGAGGGCTTGGAAGCCCCCCAACATGCAGCTGTGGAAGGCCACCTCTGGCTTGGCTTACTAGGGTGGGAAGAGATCAGTGTCCTCAGATTTCAGTGATTTTAGTGAGGGCTCGGAACACAGAGAGAGGTGGAGTCTGTCTTGACATGGCAGAGGAATGCACATGGACTTGGTCGTTGCTACATCGCCTCGGTTTATCTGATGATACATTATGTATGCGGTTCCCCTCTTAGTGGCTTGTTATTTAATTTTGCCTATGAATAAAATAAAGCAAGCTCTTTACTAAGTGCTCATCTGGGGATGGTTGGTGTGTAGATCAGATTCTGACTCCTGATCCTCACCCATCCATGACCTGGGGATGTAGGGCTGGGCAGAACACACCTCTCCCGACCACACTGAAAGCTTCTCACAGCTCTGCTGGTTTCCCCCAGATGGATTACGTGTCATTGTCTCTCTTGGGTCTAATGGTGGCTAAATGAAGGAGGGCCACTGGCTAGGTAGTAGAGATGGCATTTGATGTGGGACATAGAGGAGACCTTCTCGGTGGAATTTGCCTCTGCCACTGGACACATCATGTGATTCTGACTGGGCCAATGCAAACCACTTTCTCAGAGCCAGGGAACACTTCCCCTAGGGACTGAACCAAGAGTTTTTCTTAGACTAGACATGCACTCTACTGATGGAGATATATGCCCAGACTACGGTTTCTTATCTGGAGAGGTCATAAAGAACGCAAGGACCATGAACTCTGAAGTAAGACTGCCCCCCTCCCCATGGGCTCAAACTGTACTTTTGATCATTGCTAGCTGTGTGACGGAGGAAGTTCAACTCTTCATCTACTAAGTGGGACTAATCGGATGTGACAGCACAGGCCTATTGTGAAGATGAAATGGATGAACATGGGTGATGGGAATGAGAATGACGCCTGCTGTAGAGTAAGCATCATACAGCAGGGAATCAACCGTGTGTCCTGCCGCTGCTCAGGGACCCGACTACTCTAGGCTTGCCTGGAAAAATGAAGTAAGATGTCATTCTCATCATCAGGGGTCACTCACAAACCAGCATGACACCCCCACTCCCTCTCTCATTTTATTTTGGGACAGGGTCTGTCACTGGGACTGGAGGTTCACTGAGGCCCTGGCCAGAAAACTCCACTGATCTTCCCATCTCTTCCTCCCCAGCACTGGGATTACGAACATCTATCTCCACACCTGGGTTTTTACATAGGCTTTGGGATTCGAACTCAGGCCCTCGTGCTTGCTTGCCTACCAGGTGCTTTACCAACTGAGCCGTCTCTCCAGCCTTCAGCCTGATGCCAATTTGAAAGTATGCACTTCTCAACACTTCTTGAATACCTGTCTGTGGCCGGCACTGTTTTGGATTTGGAGGACTGAAATGGAAACATAAGGTATGCATGTCTTGATGAAGCTGAATTACCAGTGGGAAAAACAGAAATGTGCATGCCTGGTGAGCTTATACAGACTTGGTCTACTTCAAAGACCAGAAAGAAGAGACAATAGGGTACAGGGATGCTTTGGCGTATCGTCCTGAGAAGGTGCCGCTTTTACACCGCTGACGGCCATACACTTCAGGCCCAGGGGGTCTCTGTCGTACAACTGGTCTTTTATTTCTCTTGCGTGTGTATAATGTATCACGATATCTAGAGCCTGTAATTAAAATAGACCGGATAGATGCCTCCACCTTTTACTGAGGCACTGTGCTAAGAGCTTTCACACACATTAAATCATTTAACCAATTCTCTGCGAGGACATCCAGATTTCTTCAGAAGCCAGCATGCCAGGAGAGAATAATTTTTTGATGGATAGAGTCCATTACCAGTTTAGGCCATGAGCCCAGGTGATTGAAAACGCATAAATCAGGCAATTGTTCTGGCGTTGCCCCTCGCTCCCATCTTTAAACCTCTGGCTACTAATGGAGATATTATCTGACTCTCCTGATGATAGAAGAATTAGCTCATCGAATCAGCACACGATCCTCTGCGGCGCGGCTTTGCTTTCTCACCAGTTCTAGAACATTGTTTAATTTTGAAATCGGAGTGTTGATAGGTGCCGTTCACTTCTTGGGTTTGCTTTGTTTTACAGCCAAAGACTTC